TTACATTACAGTCCGATCCATTCCTCGGGGCGCAGTTTTCTTGAATATTCTATATGTCATTTCGTCGCGATAAACTGCAATAAATCGGTTGCCTTCAAGTTTAGTACTTAAGTTACTTGTGGAATGCTTCATCTGGCATCTATATGTCCTATACCGAGGGTCGTACAGAGAGGATCATGACACGGTTCACGAACGAAAAAAATAGAGATCATGGATCACGGATATAAAAATTTCGTTTTCCTGAATCACGAAAATAAGCAAGTAAGATTCTCTTTTTAATAACCTGTTCTTATACACTAGAGTGTTTGAAGAAATAAAGGCTAAGTCAAGGCTCCATATTGCAAATTGCATGTCTAAGTCACTCTCGACAGATGACTCCCACCATTCGGAGGATCCGCCTCTCAAGATCACGTAGAATTGAGTGGTGAAATCACGAATATCGGTGTATAATTCAAGTTCTTTACGGGTCACGCAAAGCCTTCAGGTCACGGATCACGAAGAATAATCTCCTAAATTCACGTTTCACGGAAAATAAAATCAGCTAATCACGCATCACGAGAATATCCCTGTAAGCAAAGTATTGTTGCTTTTTGTGCATTTTTAGCATCCAATCTCTCCTCCACCGAAAATTGAACAAGACTGGAGACGAGTATTTAGCCTCGTTTTGAAGTCATTCTTCAAGGCATTCTTTTCCAAAGAAACCCGGAAGTTAATGTCTTCGCAATCTAGCTCATTCTCGGAAAGCTTAACGTTTGGGTCTTTTTATTTGCCCATCCACCTAAAAGCCAAGTTGAGGTTTTTTTGCCAGTATGCAAGACGAAAACCAAGCTGTTCAGGAACTCGAACAAGAGTTTTCAAAGCCATGGGAACAGAGTGATGTAGTCCTGCTTGTTGAAGGACAACAGTTCCATGTTCATCGTGTAATCCTAGCGATGAGTTCTCCTGTTTTCTCCCGAATGTTCTCTTCCGATTTCAAAGAGAAAGAGGCAGACGAGATTCCTTTACCCGAGAAGAAGGCTGCCGAGATAAGAGAGATGTTGATGGTCATCTATCCAAGATTTTGTAAACCTGTGAACGCCACCAACTTGTATTTCTTGCTGCCTCTTGCCCGGGAATACCAGATAACCGTGCTTTCACAGAAGTGTGAAGATTATCTGCTGCGAGTTGCGGAAAAGGAGCATGAAATCGGTCCACTTTTTGAGACCTTAATTGTCGCTCAGAATTACACCTTGGAAAGAGCGATAGCTGAGTGCGTTAACAAAACGCAAAAACTTTCCATCGAGGAGTTACAGGGTCATGAGTTATACGAACAAGTCGAGCCTCTTTCTCAGCGAAAGATGATTGAATTACAAATGGATAACATGGAGAAAAAGCTATGCGACGCCAAAGCTGAGTTACTAGAGTCCAAAGCTGAGATTTCAAAGTTGCAAGCCAAAATCAAAGAAATAAAAGCTTCCGCCTCCCTAGGATTGGAATCCTTTGAGTTAGTTGTTGCCATTCTTGGACGCCACGTTCGTAAGGCAAAGCAAATTAATGAGTCTGTTTTTAACTTCCAATTTACCACAGAGCAAAATTTGGCAACAGTTTGTCACGACAGCTCAAATGTCCCTGCCCGTGCATGTTTAAATTTGTCTCCAACATACAAACCTCTAAAACAGCTTCAAGATAAGCTACAAGCAATAAGGGATTCCAGTTAGGTGACTGATGCTCATTTTTTGCAGTGCGATATATCATTTAATTTTGGAGATTTTATTTTAAAAGGATTAAGCCTGGTTCACACTAGCGACATAACGACATCGTCATGAATGACATAAAAAGGATGTACATTATATTTGTAGTGTGAACTTGTAGACATAATGACATATTAGCAACATAACAGCATGAACATAATGACATAAAGATAAAACTGATCTTTTCCTTATGTTATTATGTCAATGTTGTTATGTCGTGATGTCGTTATGTCGCTAGTGTGAACCAGGCTTAACACTATACAGCTCTTTCAAAAAAACTTTGCATGCAGCATCAAGCCTAAAGCCTGGTTCACACTAGCAACATGACTACCTAACGACATCGTCACAAACGACATAAAAAGGACGTTATCTCAACATAAAAAAGATGTTATGTGAACATGTAGACATAATGACATATTAGCAACATAACAGCATGAACATGACGTAAAGATAAAACTGATCTTTTCCTTATGTCAATGTCGCTATGTCGTTGTGTTGTGTGAACCAGGCTTTAAATTTTAGGGGCCCTGACATATTCACTAGTTCCCCACTTTGTGTTAACTAGACTTTTAGGTCAGAATCCATCCCCTCTTCCTCAACACAAACAGGTGAATGTGTTACGGCCCCTTACTTGAGTGTTGCTAGTTTTCATGTGACATCATATTTTTCCAAAATTGAAAATTACTATTCCCACCACAGGCAGCCCAGATGTTGAATATGATTAATACGTGACATTATGCTGTTGGGGATTGCATTGCAATTTTAGCTGTTTACAAGAGAATGTATGAGAATGCTTCGAAAATTACTCTAAATGCTACGTGTAGAGTATAATTTGAATAAAATGGCTTAAGTACCTTATGTTTGCATTGCGTTATTTTGATGTCTCTGGTTTCCTGGAGGTGGTTTAAAACTCACCTAAATGGCTCTATTTTTTATCTACACCCCACTCTCCATTTCATTTCATTGCCAGAAATTTTTTTCAAAAGTGCTGACAACAACAAAAACAGGCTGTTGGAATCTGCCTCCATGGAGAAGAGGGTGCAGACAAAAAAATGAAAATTATGTCCCAATATGGCATTGCACTAGGTTGCATGGGTTGTTTCTGTGAACTTGAGATTACTTTGATAATAAATATTTTGTAACAGATTGTAACAGGTGTTAATTTCATGCCATAATTAGTTTAGGTTAGTAGAGAGCTCTGTCCTCGGCTGTGATCCCCCGACACATTTAAACCCCAGGGAGAACGGACTCCATATAAAAAGGAGAGGGGTGCTTGTCGTACCTTTTAAGGGGTTAAAAAAAAGCAGGTTTGGTACCTGTTAGACTTTTCACCCTTGAGAAGTTCAAAACAGGAGCTTTGGCAGTACCTTTTAGGATATTGAGCCAAAAAAAAGTCAGTGTCAGTTAATATGTTGCTTTGGAATTGATACCTCTCAGGGGTTGTGAAAAATTTCAAGCCACACCCACAAAACAGGATCTTGGTACCTCTTAGGGCATTGAGCCTCGGAAAGTCCACAGGGGAGCTTTCACAGTTCCTTTTAATTACAGTATTGAGCCAAAAAGTCAGTGTATGTTACTTTAGAATTGATACCTCTTACGGGGTGAAAAAATTTCAAGCCACACCCACAAAACAGGATCTTGGTACCTCTTAGGGCATTGAGCCTCAAAAAGTCCACAGGGGGAGCTTTCACAGTTCCTTTTAATTACAGTATTGAGCCAAAAAGTCAGTGTATGTTGCTTTAGAATTGATACCTCTTACGGGGTGAAAAAATTTCAAGCCACACCCACAAAACAGGATCTTGGTACCTCTTAGGGGTTGTTTTCAAAATTTCCGATGAGCACAGCCATCCTTTTCATATTGGAGGCACCCCCCACCATGGAGATTGTTTTACTGCCTATTTTTTGTGTCACATTACAAAACAATGTGGCTTGAAGTGGTACCATGATCAAATTTTTACCCCTTAAATTTTTAATTTTATCGCATGGAATTCCACGAAAGATTAAAAGAATCACCATTTACCATTTGCAAATATCTGCATTAGTTCCATTTAATGCGTTTTTCTTCTCGTACAGACTTCCTCTCCATGTTCTAAAATGGCTTAGACAAGGAAAGCGATTTCTGTCAGTAGCGCTAAAAGAAGAAAACACCATAACTGATTACCTGATTAATATTGTCAAATATATTTTTATGCTAAGTAAAGTACTAGTATTGTATGATGCAAAAATGCTCCAGTAGACAGGTTTGCATTTTGTGGTTGGCTGGACTATGTCTGAGAGTTTAAAACTTTGTGTATTGAGACAGAGTCTTTTTGTGGTGAAACAAACTTACAGTAAAGACCAATTACCTATGCAAAATTAGGGCTTACCTGTAAACATTTCTTATTTATTCATTTGCTTTACAAAGCAAAAGAAGTAATTTTGTAGCTACAAAAAGTTAAAATAAAGATAATATTATTATTGGAAAAAGAAAAGTAGTGGTGAGGTAGAGAATGAAAGATTATTAGGGCATCTTCAATTTTATTTTCCAATTTTAAAAATATGTACATCTTTTAGGGTTCATTATTGTTTCTTTTTTTATTTCCTGATTGTCTTTAATAAAAAAACATGTTAAAACTGATTTGATGAACCTCGTTGGAGTCTTGCAATTTCCAAGTGAAGCTGAGCTGCACTCTTAACCCCACATATGCAAAAATTTGCAATACAAACCAAGCCAAAGGAAGGCAGAAAGAGGGCTTGACAGCTTTGCAGGGCAAGACGACAAATATCCTATCTTCATTCACATGTGGTGCATTTGCAACATTTCTTCCAAAAAAATTAAAAATTCCGCTTGATGACGTAAGCGATAAGAATTTTGGCGGGAACTGCATAGTAGTGCACGAGTCGGCCAGAAACGTTCAATTAAAAATGGAGGACTGGGAGTAGACTTTTCTACGCGTATTAAATTATACCTCCTCTTCAGCAAATCGTCCGTGGTAATGTATTCACAAAAATAGAACCGCTTCGTGGTGAAAAGATTCGAAGCAGTGGCTTGAGTGTAGGGCTTTTAATTCAAAAGCCATAAACCTATTATAATGTAACCTGTAAACTGGCAAAGGATCATGCTGCTCAAATTCGGAGAATGCTAGAGCGCCTGGTAACCTTTTAAAATCTCCACGATTAGCTTGTCACAGTAACCAGGATGTAAGCTTAAGCTTATATTATACGAAGACCAACAGGACTTTTTTGCTTCACTCCGGCTTTCTGACTCCTTTGACCTCTTCTGATTGTTTCTCGACGTTTGAACGTACTATTGAGGAAGCTAACATTGAAATATCTTAGTAGATTTCCCTCTAATTTATCTTGCAGTTCTTGTGACCGTATCCTAGGACACTATAAAGGTTTTCAACTTTACTGAACATCGCTGAAATGGCCGCCATTCTTTTCATTCAACAACCGGCAGCGAGCCCAGACCGTCCGGCGAGCAAACTAACAAAGGTCAGTGCGAGAAATTAAGAATGGCCGACTGTTAGGATCGAGAAACGCCGGTCAACATCCCATTTGACAAATCGCTCATATTTTGCCCAAAGATAC